CCCTACCTTCAGAGCCTTGCCCCAAAGCCTCCCTCTATTCAGTTCCACCTCTGTGCCCTCACTGCTATGGCTCTACACTGCAAATCTAGTGACTGCAGGGCAATAGGAGGAGTGGGGGGACCCGAGTCCCATCCCCCAAGCACAGCCTTGCAACCCATACCCCACCTCTTCTGCCCAGTGATGGAGAAAGAGGGCCCAGCTGATGAGCAGCTGCCCCAGGACCTGGAAACCATCTTTCTGGGCAGCCTGCAAAGGGAGATAGGGGTCTTGAAATAATTAGCCCCCAGCATTGGGCCTGTGGTATCTCATTACCAAATGCAAATGCAAGTTCACGTGCCACTTCAAGGCTCCTGGCAAAATGCCTGCCTGACCCACAACCTCGCTGAATTCGGACCAAAGTGTCACCCACCAACCACCCCCTTTGCAGCCTGCAGCTGGTGTGCAGGCTCTGTGAAGGGAAAAGGCTGCTCTCACCCCACTGAACGGGGAACAACGAAGAAGGGTCTTATTTCTTTAAAGGAGGCAGAGATGTTATGGGGAGGGGAGCATTAAAAAAAAATTACTCTTCCCTCAGCAGTTAAAAGAAGGATAATTGGAGCAAGTGGCAGGCGGCTGCTCTGCCGTTTAGCATACAGCATACCCAGGAAATCTCACTTGGTAATCAGGAGAGAGGAGGAAAAAGGAGCAATCAGACCCCTATTCAGACTCCAGTTAGCAACAGCCCCTGCTTGCTGGCTAGGCTGGTGGAAAGTAGGGGCTGGTCCAATTTAAAGCCTGAATGCTAGGTGGGGAACAGAGTCTCCGAAGCAGCAGTCCCTCCTTTGTGTACAGTTTAAGGCCTTGCTTTTGTGCTACCTTCTCCATACCAGGGGAAAGGATTCGGAATGGAGTTATCCTTGACTCTGTGATTACTCATCACTCCCCTGCAGTCCCCAGGCCTTTTGCAAGGCCATTCAGAGATGACACAGATTAGGAACAATGCCACATTACAATTCCAGCAGGGTAGGCACTGGGAAGAGGGGTGGGGAGCTGACTGTGTTTTTACACAAGTGCCCCAAACAGGAGCATCCAGCTGGGGCAATCACTGGGACCTTAACTACAGCACCTGATGTCTCTGGCCCTCAGTAAATGCTCAGGGTCCAGCCACAGCAGCCTCCTGTTGGTATAGGGCATTCCATCCTCTGGCTTTGAGACATGGGGGAAGAGTCACAAAATTCTCAATAAAAAGAAGTGAAATTCACTTTCAGGAAGGCATGAGAAGGCCATACAGTGGTTTTGAGTCATCAATCAACCTGAGCAGGATGTCAGCTTCAGACAGCAGGGGACATGGGGTGGGGGGTGGGCACTACTGGTTACTACTCAGCAGTGTGCCTGTAATAAGGCTCTGGTCCCTGTCACCCACGACCACCATGACACTTCACTATAGGTTCCCAACACCTGAAAACATAACAGCCGAGCCTCAAAACAAAAAGCTTCTAGTCTGGGCACAGCAGGAAAAGATAGACAATAAACAAACTTTTTCTCTGCCAATGGAATAAGATAGACCTCATGCCTCTTCACTAAATTAACCTAAAAACATGTTCACACAAGTGATATGTGACCTAAGTAGGCACATGCCAAGAGCCTCAAGAGTAGAGACCAACCTATGAAGACTGCCCCATTGTTCTCTGGTCCCACCCAACCTGCAACAGGATGACTTTATGCTGAGTAATCTCAAGAGAAACTGGTGCTGGAATTTATAAATCTTGGTGGTAAATCAATTCTTCACAACCATAAGGTTGTTGAGAAATTCAGTACGTGCAGATCTATAACTAAGAATGTTTTAAGGATAAACAAGTTTAAACTTATTTTAAGGTAATGACAAACTATTAATGACCCGTGAGGGGACTGCTCTCTAGAGGGAACTGAGGATACCTCTTCATTAGCCGCTGAGTTTCAAGGCTGCCCATCACAGGACAGACTGAGCTAAACATAAAGCCAAGTGGAAAATGCCGTGCCAGCACTCGATTACATTGTAAACCAAAGATGCATCATTTTTAAATCGTCTTGAGTTATCTGCATTTCTTCTGTCCTCCAAGAACATCACTGAAAAGGCAAAATTAAATGTCAACATGAACAAGTCTGGTGGAGTACCAAAGCATTTTATTTATAAACATAACACCTAGAAGTCAAAATCTGGGACCTCTTCTTCATCCATATTGTGCCATAATGCTCAGTGTGACTGTTAATTAGATTGGTAGTCTTGCAATAAGGTTTTCTCAAGTAAGTTGTGCAGAATTCAGTCTGCAACCAGAGCTAAAAGCCCTTCACCAAATGAAAGAGAAGATACTGTGTCCATTAACTCTTACCAATTCTTCCATAGCAACTATCTCTGACATATTCTGGATCTTACCTATGGAAGATACACAGTGGAAAATCAAAATAGCCCAAAGCACATAAAAAGAGATGGGCCCATCTGTGCCTTCTTCCTGGAGTGCAGCATGAAGACGTTGGGAGCCATCAAGACATGGAGAGCCAGACAGGCCAAGCAAACAGCAACACTGCAGGTGGGCTGGAAACTAATGGACCACAGAGGGCGCCTCCAACAGGCCTGAGCCACATCCATCCAAAGCTGTAGGAGCCCTTGCAGCTCCTCCTGCTCTTTGAGCTGCTAAAGCATGAAGTATAAAAATGGATCTTCCATGCCAGGTGCAAGCCCTCGCACAGTCAAATGGCAGGGCCCATCCTGCAAATTAGGACAATCAGGTGCTTAGTACACAGAACCAACTGCTGGGAATAAGTCCCCTGGCTTCAGTTCTGAGACATGTGCAATTTAAGGGGGAGTGGGGACGGATGCATTCTCACTACCCATTTTGCCACATTATCTTTAGGAAAATGGGCAGGACTTTGTTTAGGCCATTTATCTTGTTGTTATGCAGATCTGCTTGACACTTCGCAGCTGCTGTGATTCTTTTTCCCCTTAACATTTAACAGGTGAGTTTTTCCCACTAACTCTCTAAAAATTAACCATGTATGGAGGCAACAGATATTTTCTAATAGTCAATGATGCATTTCTGTGATTGATTAGACATGATGACAATTACTGAAATCAACAGGCTGCAAGTTATCAACAGTAAATTGTGTTGCCTCCCCCAACATCCACCCTCACCTCCACCTCTGCACCGCTCTGTTCCAAGCCAGTCAAGTGTTACCGTTAAAAGAGATTATTTACTCTATTTATGTATCAGAAAGATAAATGAGTTATGCTGGGTGTTTGCCTTCCACAGACAGAGGTACCAATCCATAGCCAGGAGATGATCTGAACCTTGTGGAAAAACCAATTATTAAAATATCCATATTGCATTTAGTTATTTAAAAATCAACTGCATACAATCTGCTCTGAAGAAATTCCACTGGAGACTGGAACACACACACACACACACACCAGAGAGAAAAGGCAAATTGTATACATATACAGTACAGAGATTCTTCCTGCAGAAAAATGCTGATCCAAACCTGCCCCGAGGAAATGAGTTCTTTTTAAACACAAAAAATGCAATCAGGGATAATCAGCAAGTTAACAACACAGTTGCAAACACCCTGGTCCCTAGAAAGGAAGAATGCCAGCTTTCAATGCGAGTTCTGAGAAGAGAACAGATCCTTCGGGTGAATGAGAAAACAAGTGATCATGTCAGCGTCTTCAGGCAGAACTTTCTCCAAAGCCAAGAAGCTTTGAACAGCAGTCAGCTCCAGAATGCACCTGCTTGTGAGAGGCACTTCAATAATCACATTCCCAAAGTGGTTCTGCAGATTGGGGTTGCCTCTACCCCACTCGCCCACCCCTCTTTCCTGTGACTTCAGTGGGGAAGACAGAAGCCAGACAAGGACAACCTATGCATTTGACCTCTCCCTCTCCAACAGGAAAGGAGATATGATGCCCAACCCAGTAGAGAAAAGAAGCAGAGACCCAGAAAACACTCCTGCAATAGCCCACACACAACTTACACTGAGGCCTCCAGCGAGACCTCCAATGTGTCCTAGTCTCCAGCATGTGCCACTTGTAAAATAAACTTTGATTTTTTTAAAATTTTAAATAGCTACTGATAGCTAAAGTTCACATGAACCATAGCCTGCCTTAGAGGTTGGGCTGTTCTGGAAACATTTAAGGAATACCTGCAGACAGGATCTTTAATTACAAATCCCAAGGAAGCAGGGCAGCGGGGCCTTACCTGAATGAAGAGACCCTGGGAGTCAGTGGCAAGATACTCACCTGGCCCCACCCACCTGACTTCCCTTGACCTTGTACCAGTTGGTTCTTAACCTTGATTGCACACTGCATAATGTGGGGAGCTTTACAAATATACAGATTCTTGGGTTCCACCCCCAGAAATTCGGATTTAATTAGGCTGGGGCATGGCCTGGAAGTTTTTAAGTTCCCCCAGGTGATCCTAATGTGCAGCCAAGGTTGAGTCCTCTGTTCTGCCTTATACCATGCCACCAGCTCCATGAAGAGATCAGCATGAGATAGCAACACAAAACATCTCTAGAAGAATCCAGGCCTTAACCCAGAAAGCATAAGAGGTGATGTAACTTGCTTGCCTCCTCTTCCTAACCTCCCAACCTACATACCCATCTGGCCACTTCTCACACACCTGTTCACTTCAATGTTTCCTCCTACCCAAATCTAAGCCTTTAGTGAGTCCAGGAGTCCAGGAATTTGGCTTTTGAGTATTTGCCAAATTAAAGCCCGGGCCACTTCTTCCAGATCTAATCTCAAACAGTCAGAATACGGTGAATAAGGTGAGGGCAGCCTAAGCCCTTTTGCACAAGTCCTTTCTTCTCTCTCCCTGTAAAGTTGTAGTTGAACTTGGGGGGGTTTCCAGGCTATGCCAAGTACTGTCAGCTCCCTTGGTGGACTTGGCTGAATGAGGATCCAGTCCATCTCTGTGCCTGTCAGTACTGTTGTTAGTATGTAGAGAGGACACATCTAAAGAGGAAACTCATATGAAAAATGTTCATTGCTAGAACAAAAAAGCAAGGACCTCCCCTGAGTGCACCCCAGGGGGCTGTGGGGGGAAGGGGCACAGGGAAAGGGTTGGGTTGGCAGCAGGGCCAAGTACGTTCCCAGCAACCCATCCACCTCATTCTTCTTTGCACAGGCACCCCTTATGCTGGGGATTAAAAGGAGGAAGTGATGGGGAGTTTCACATCCATCCCGAAGGGTCCAAGTCTCAAGAGATCAGGAGGGACAGAGATAAACACTTTGCCAATTTCTAATTTCTTGCCCTGTGCTGATCCTGCTAAGCAGTGCTGCTATGGAAGGAGTTGAGCTGGGGTTCAGACTGCAGTCTTCTCCAACCAGCCCTTTGGGTTGAGTGCAGAGCCCACAGCTGAGTAGCCAGGATTCCCTACCTACTGAGATCTGGTGGATTTTCCACTGAGAGCAAGCAATGGATTTCCATTGCCTCCTCAGGGAAAGGGGCCCAGTTAGCTAACATGCAGCTAAAGAAGCACTTCTCTGTAGAGCTGGTTCCTGTCAGGAGTCTCTGCCCTCACCCAATGCAGTGGGCAGGCCTCTAGCAAGAGAGGGAGAGGGCAGTGGATCTTACCTTCTGAGCAGAGCTTGCCACCGTAGCCAGTGGTGGAACAGTCACAGGTGGGGTGGCCATCCAGAAGGAAGCAGATCCCACCGTTTTCACAGGGACGCTCCCCACAGGGTCCCTCGGCATCCAGCTGAACACCCTGGCTCCCCAGAAGCCGAGGCTCCGAGTTGCCATACTTGAGATCCAGGATTAATCCCTTGAAGCCGGGCGTGGCCTGTACTCCATCAAGGGTCAGAGTGGAAGGTCGTATGTCTGCGGGGACTCCACCAAGGAACAAGTCACTGACCACATCCATGTAGGGCCGCTGGGCCTGAAGCTCCCCAGACTGGCCCTCACCATCGAGCATCAGCACAGTGCGCAGGCGGTCCCGGCTCACCATGAGGAAGTGCCAGCTGCTGTCGTTCACCTGCTTGTTGGACAACACGGCAGTCTCAGCGCAGTCCATGCTGAAGCGGAGCTGAACGCGGCCGTCCACCAGGGAGAGGCAGAGGAAGTCACAGACACCACCATCGTCCAGGTAGAGGAGCAGCCCCGTGGACACATTGGTCTTGAACTGGAAGCTGAGGTCGCTGCGCGTGCTGGCGTCCCAGCGGAGGTAGCGGGCCCACTGGTTGGGGAGGCCCATGAACTCAAGACCCAGGCAGAGCCCCAGCAGGGACCCCAGCAGGATGCTCACCTTCAGGGTGAAGAAAACCGAGTGCAGAGTGAAGCTCATCGTGGCTGCTGCGGCCCTCAGGGGAGGGAGAGAGGGAGACAGGACAGAGATGGGGGACAGAGAGCACACAAGAGGAGGGAGACACGCACACAAATACCAAGATGGTGAGGAAGGAGGAATGTCAGCAAGACAGCCCAGATGGGCGCACGAGCAAGAAATCCAACAAGGAGGCAGAGGAAAGAGACAGGGCAGCAGAGAAGGAAGAAAATCAGGTGGGGAAGCCAGTGAGAGGAAAGTGTCTTTCTCCAAGAAAAGATCTCAGCTATCCATGTGGATCCGGAGGCCTTGATTCGAGGAGAGGTGGGAGGAAGCCTTCAGCACTGCAGTCTTCCCAGCAGACCCCCAATGCCCCAGCCAGGGAGGCCGGGGACAGGGCACTGTGACGGAGCAGGAGTGAGCAGTGCGGTGAGCCAGGAGAAAGGCCAAGACTGGCCCAGGACCAGTCCCGAGGTTACACTCCTAGCAGCAGCGGGCTGCAGGCAGGGCAGCCACGACAAGCCCAGAGCTCAGGCAGAGCAGGGCCCGGGGCGGAGCGCAAGCAGACTCAGGCTTCATGGTGCCGGCCACAGGCAGTCCTGCCCATAATCTGCCTCCTGGGACTCCAGAGAAAAGACCTGTGGGCAGAAGGAGAGGGAGAAAGGAGAGAAGGAGCGGAAGATTAGGGCCACATGTCAGGAAAATACTGCATCCTATTTCACAAATATTGATGGAGAGCTGACTTCAAGCCAGGCTGTGCTAGTGATTCCCAAGCACTCACGTGCTTTGATCAGGGGAGAGGGCTTGGGTTCTATCAGAGTCTCTGTGGGACTCCTAGTGCAGTTCACAGTGATGCACTAAGTTTTTCCGTATGCAAAAGTAGTGTAAAATTCCCGAAGCCATATCAGCACAGTTTTATAGTATTTGTCTCAGGGTCACATAGCAAAACTTATTTATAACATAAGTGCTAACATTTTACACACTCAAATACCCACAACATAGTTTTTACTTTTACCTACTAAAAGACATGAACATGACATTAATTTTTTTTCTTTTTTTTAGATTTTCTTTTTCGATTTGACCACCCACTGTCTGGGTGTCGGAGTCCTAAGACAGATTTCCACCTTTAAATTTTTGAAAGAAATATTTATATAGATCAAAGAAAATAAATTAGAAGGTGAGTAATGAGCAAAACAACCCTCATCTCTTACTAAATATTGGGGAAAAGTTCTTATAGAAAAAAGTATGCTCCCTGAGGTTTTTTAAAAAGGCTACGTTTCAGTCCTACTTCCTGTATGTGAAACTTTGAGAAAATTTCTTAACCTATTTGAGGTTCTATTTTCTCATTTGTAAAGTAGAGAAAATAATAGCCCCTTTCCAAGACTGAGGAGAGAATTAAAGGAGACCATGTTAAATGGGAAGATCCTAACACGAGGCTTTATACATAGTAGATGATCAATAAATACTAGGTGTCTCCCTTCTTTGTTTATGAAATGGAAAGTGAAGAGGGTTTGGGAGTGTGTGTCTGTCTGTGTGTGTGTGTGTGTGTGTGTGTCTGTGTGTGTGTGTGTGTGTGTGTGTGTGTGTGTGTCTGCATCTGCAGACTGAGGGCAATGTATAAAAACACAAATATTTTTTTAAGTTATGAAAACTGTAGAATGGATAACAACCAAAGAGTCAAGAACTGCCACCAACCTCAAGTGTGTTTTATAATGTTATAATGTTTTATACATGTGTTTTACAATGGTTAGAAATGCACCAGCACCCAATCCAGTCCATGATCTGGTTTCTGAGGGCACACTCTGGCCCACCTAACCAGAGTGCAGAGGTCTCTGTTCAGATGGAGCAGGGAGTGTAATTTCCAAGAGCCGTGCGAGTTACCGGTTATTACTTGGCACATTTGATAACTCACCATGGTTTGTAGTAGAACATTACTATCCACTGTTTTTATGATGACCACATAGGCAAAGGTAGTTATTTCTTTGATGAGGAAGATGCTGTTCTTTAACAAGGAACAAGCACCTATTCCCAAACAAACAAAACCAATCAACGAGAGGCTGATGATCCAGCATTAGGAAAGCCTTTGTATAAGCTTTTGTCCAAGCAGTGCTTCCTAAAGTGGGGCATGGAAGCTCCCAGGGATGTGAGGGATGTTTAGCTGGAACATGGACCCAGGAGTGTGCTAGTGCTGAATCCTGCTGGCTTGTGGGAGCTGACTGCTAAAATTTCAGAAAT